AAATATCGACCGCACTCAAAAAGAAGATCGACGATCCCACTAGCAAGTTGTTCTGCCTTCTCATGAAGCAATTGCTAAAAGTCAGCCAACAAGGACGCGACCTCGCAGGAGTAGTACTGGACACGTTCATCCTACCCGCCACGTGCATGCTGATGACCATGATGTCAGAGCAGACAGTGCTCTACGCGGAGGCGGTCAAGAAAGCAGGCAAGGACCACCAGTTGGGACCGCCCTTCATAAGGGCGATGGGAGGACTTCTCAAGGCCCTGGTGTCCATGGGCGACAACATAGGAACGCAGAACGCTCAACAGGTTCAAAAAGCGTACTCGGAGTACGGAGAATTCTCAGTCGACATGAAGTGCGAGCTCGTTCTGTTCTGCCGCCAAGACAAAGTTTATCAGAAGGAGCAACGACGCTTGACGATCTCCTGCCGCGACCCGTCCTTTCGCACGATGCTAATCGGATCAATCATGCAGATTCCAGGAGTCAAACGCAAGCACGGCCGAGCTCCAGCAGCATACATGGAGAGAGAGATTCAGCAGTTTCTCGAGACACTTCTGAAGTGATTGATATTGAAGATCGAGCCGACAACGAGATCTCCGAGGACGATCTTGAGGCTCTACATCTTCCTCCACCGTGGACTCAGGCACAACAAGACGGTTTCTTGCGAGGCGGGGAGGATAAGTATGGTTCGTCTGCTGCTGCTGATGACCCTCTACCGCCTCCACCACCTCCTGAGATTCCCGCACCTGAGGCTGCCCCCGTTTTACACGTTTCTCCCCCTCCTCCGTCTCCTCCCCCTGCTCGTCCCTTGGATGCCCAGCTAATCACGGAATACCTATCATCCTGCGGGGTCTTCCCTGGGACCGCGAAATTCGAGACGCTTTTCAAGAGTATGCATATTCTGAGCATAGCTAAATCTCGAGCTACCCCGTAGTTTCCTGGTCCCCTCGTGGCTACCTCATGCGTCGGTGGCTGCCTGGGCCAGGCTCGTCCTTCTCGGGACCCGAGCTGCGGCCCAAGTGCATAGAGCATGGCATATGCACTCACCTCTTAAAGCCAGAGGTTCACCGTGCCAGAGGCCATTCGTAGTCGTGCGAAAGATAACGACTGGCGATTGCACGATTTTGCGAGATAGAGCTCGAGTGAGGGCATCGAATGTGTGCGAATCGAATCGAATCCTCCTCCTCCTCCTCCCCAGGGCCAGGAGAGACGCTCCCGGGCGGCCAATATGCCCAAAGAGGAGTCCAGGACGTCTCCGAGATGCCCGCAGCACCCCTCTGGATGCCCCGATAGAGCCTCGGAGAGCCCACACAGCTCCCGAGAAGGCCGAAAGAGGCGTCCACGAGGCTCGAAGAGAAGCACCAAGAAGCCTTCCGGAGGCCTGGGGTAAGCCCTGTGAGAGGCGAAGGGCACATGCAAAAACAGACATGCTTGAAATGCGCGTTTGGCCTCACACCGTTCGCCGACTTTCAGGCGCACGTTGACACGGATTGCAGACCGTGGGGATAGCGAGTGGGCGCCGGATCCACGGATCGAAGAAGGCACCCACCAAGCACGAGGCCGGTGCCGCATGATTTGGCGGCGTCACGCGCCAATTCTGCACGGAAACAGGACCAATCGCTAATCCGCGCGCCTCAATTCATGTGTGCGTTTTCTCGAGCCTGTGGAGCCGCAGGAAGCGACCCCCCCCACCAGCAGCTTCCAAGAGACCCTGAGATGGCCCCAGGCGCAAGGACTGCCCGAGGCGGCCCTGTGGCGGCCAACGACCGCGCCAAGAGAGCTCGAGCTCCAAGACGGATCAGGGCCGGCATAGGGCGGCCCAAAGATATGCCCGCTAGATGGTCACATGGCCCTTCTCGAGGCCCTCCATGATGGACCGAAGACTCCAGATAGACCCCCCAGGATCCAAAAGAGGCCCCCAATGATCCCTCCTGCATACTCCTTGGAGGCCAGACACATCCGATGCCCCCATGACGCCCCGCGAAACCACCTCCCCATCTCCCTCGCATTCACTCCTCACCCTGCCCCTCTTCTCCTACGCATTCCCTTTCTCCTCCCTCCTCTCTCCAATCCCCCCTACTACTGCATTACGATATCCTCCAAGGAGCAAAAATGTCTCAGATGACCTTCCCCTGGGGGTTATGACATGTTGCGGCCTCTCCGATCTGGGGCCGCGACGTGACACATATTACGGCCCTCTGAATCTTTGGGAAGGAAGACGTCACGTGCTAAAGACCTCATGACACTGAGGGGAACAAGTACCACGTGTTCCTGCCTCTGCGGGCCGGGGGGAGATTACTCTCACACGCGGCGGAATTCAACACTCTGCTGCCTGGGTAAGACAGCGGACTCATGTTACGGCACCCTGGGCCTGTAAACAAAGACATCCCATGAAGTATTCCCCTATCTTATCTTCAACCCAGGGACAAGATGTCACATGTTTCGGCCCTCTGAGCCCTGAGACCACGGTCTCGCGCTGCAGATTCTCCAAACCAAA